AGCCTGCGCTGGGCCAGGGCGGGGGTGCTGCTCAGGGGGAGCCTGCGCTGAGCCAGGGCAGGGGCTGTGTTCAAAGCCCTGCACTACAAACAGATAAACAAGAGCACAGACGCTGCTCAGTCTGTATCACCCCCAAGCCTCTTCAGTCCTAGCACTTCCCCCACTCTGGTCACACTGCCAGGGTGAGAGTAACCACCTTCACCTTCTCACGTGACCCCGGCTGTGGGCACTGGATCCGGGCTTGGCCTGGAGCATTTTCTCCAGGACCATGCAATTAGGACCAGAAGGCTAAGTCCACTGCTCCCCAGAGCTGGGAAGCCGCCAGGAGCAGTTACTTTCTGACCCGGCGACTGAGAGACAGGAAAGGATCAGGAAAGGTGCTCACAGAGAAACGTGCTTCCCCGCTGGCTCAGCCGCCCAGAGTGCTGGTGCCCAGGCGCACACCGCCAGGCCCAGCTCGGCGAGTTTCCGGGCTCTCTGGAAGACTCGTAGTCCCACCTGACCCTGTCCCCTGAGGACAATCCACCGTACCTACCGCTGATAAATGTATGTATGCATGTATGTATGTATGTGCGTATGTATGTATGCACGTATTTATTTAGAGACAGGGTCTTGTTACATAGTTCATGCCAGCCTTGAACTAAAGGGGAACATCCTGCCTCAGCTTCCCCAGTGCTAGGACTGCAAGTGTGCGCCACCACACCCGGCTAAAAGTGTGTTGTTTTTTAAACATACATACTGATGGCCAGTACAGCAACTTTACTTATTGTCAAAGTAAGTCAGACACATAAGCATGAACATCTCATAGTTCTCTTGGATGAGAAGCCTGAAGTATAAAAAAAGAGCAAAATAAAAGAAAATAAGAAGTAAGGAGAGCTGGGTGTAGTGGCACATATCTGTAATCCCAGCACTCACAAGGCGGAGGCAGGAGGGTCATTGTGGTTTGAGACCAGCCTGACTACAAAGTGAGCTCACAGCCAGCCTGAAATACATAGTGAAACCCTGTCTTAAAAAAATTTTTAAAAAGGGTGGCGAGATAGCTCATGCCCCCTAACACGTCCAAGAGGAGGACAGAAGCGCCCCTCCACTCACTCGCCAGCGGCTCCTGCTCCACCGGAGACCCCTCGGGTGCATCAAAACGGCCCAGCGGCAGCTTGGGCTTCTTCAGGGCTGTCCGGACAGGCTCTGATTTCCCTCCTGCAGAAGAAGTGATTTTCCTCAAAGTGTCACAGAGAAGAGGTGACCCTAGCAGAAGGACAGTGCAGAAAAAGAGAGCAGTGCATTTATTCTGCTTAAAAGCTGAGTCATTTACTAATAATTACTTATTGAGTAATTTACTTATTGAGTACTTACTGAGTCATTAATTATCGCATTCATTTTATCTTTTTCATCTTTATGTATGTGGTACAGGGTCTCACTACGCAGCTCAGACTCATAGTGATCCTCCTGTTTTCAGCCTCCCCAGCGCTGGGATTACAGACGTGGGCCACCACGCCCAGACTTGTTTGCAGGCTCAGCATGCCACAGGGATGGGGCCAGATTGGCATGCAGGGCTGGGGATTGAGCCCTGGTCCCTGTACTTACAAAAGCAGGTGCTTGGCCCACTGCACTATCTCACCAGCCCTCCAAGTTCACATTTATGAAGCTCCCAAGGACACAAAAGGGAGTGAAACCCTTTCGAGACAGCTGTTTTCCTCCAGTCCACACCACCCATGTCACTAGTTTGAAAAGGAAGCTATGAAATGTCAGCCATTATCAGAACTGTAGAAATATATAAAGCACTGATTCTGTCCCAAGCAACACTAAGAGACCAGGCCACAGACCACGAAAAGTGCCTAAGAAGCTGGGACAGTAGTGCATTCTTGTAATCCCCATGCTTGGGAGGCTGAGGCAGGAGGGTTCTGTGTTCACCACCAACCTGGACTACACAGCAAGAACCTATCTCAAAAAATAAATAAATAAAATAAAAAAGAACCATGAGTTTCTCAGTGATATTTTAGTCCATGTACATCAGCCTGACAGAGGAGGAGGTAGAGGATACACACAAGTAGTCTGAAGGGTAGAAAATCAAGATAAGGGTCTCTCAGATAAGCAGGATCGGTGGACAGGCCAAGGTGCACCCAGGCGCCTCCCTTCCATCCCGCCCAGGACACAGCAGTGCTGCGCAGCAGGAACTGTGCTAACATCAGTGCTACGCTTCGCCTGGGCAGACGGAGGTCACCTTAGCTTCCCATGAAAGAGCCGACAAGCTTCAAGTGGAAGCTGTCTTTCAGGACTGGAAAGAAAGAACCAGAAAAGCCACAGTGTCTACTTGAAGAGACCTGATCCTAGACCTGCGTATTCTGAACTGAGTTCCACATACTTGACAGACAAAATGTGCTCTACGAGAACAGAAGTGGGCTGGGGAGATAGCTCAGTGAAGTAAGTGCTTGCCTGGCAAGCGCAGGGTCCTGAGTTTGATCTCTGTTACTACTGGGGAGGATAGAGAGGGGAGAAGAGCTAAGAGAAGCAGAGAGTGAGGCACCACAAAAGGACACTCACACACATGCACACCACCACTAATAAATAATCTGTTTTGGGCAGTTCAATAAATTTGCTGTTAAAACCCTACAGCTATACAATGTCTAAAAGCTGAGAAATACATGTCATGTCTGGGATGTAAAATATTCCCCAAAGACCCCCTGCCTGCAAGGCTTGGCTGGGCATGGTAAGGAAGGGCTGGCTGGTGCAGGCTCCAATCCCACCGTGGGTGACACTGGCAAGACACTGTCTGGGGACATCACTGGAGGCGCTGGACACCTGGACGCGAGGCCCAGTGGTCAGGAGCAGCTGGGCAATGGGGCTGGGGTGACCCTCGGACTCCGTCCTGCCCCCAGCCTCTTCTCCACCGTCTCTGATGCCCTGCTGCCTGGAGGGGAGCCACTCTCTTCTGCCTGGGAGGCAGCCAGCCACAGCATGAAAGCTCTGAAACGGCCCGAGCCACACGGATCTTCCCCCTTTAGGTTGGCTTCTCTCAGGGGTTTTGTGACAGTGCCACAAAGCTGACTGATGCAATATCCACACTGCTTCCAGCAGGTAAAAACTCTCAGAAAGTAAGTAATGATAAATTTAAAATGCAATCCATGGGGGTAAAAAAAAAAAAAAAAAAAAGCCACTTAAATTGAAACTGCTGAGGGCTGGCCAAAAAGCTCAGCAGATTAAAGTGCCTGCAAATAGGCGCAGAGGTCAGGGGTTCGATCCCTGGGGCCTGCCACGCTGGCCCTGCCTGTGCGGCACACTAAGATGGCAATTGAGACTGGCCACGGTGGCACGTGCCTGTAATCCCAGCACTTGGGAGGCTGTAAACAGGTGGATCACTATGAGTTCGATCTCATAGTGAGACCCTGAACACCCTGTCGACCCTTCCCTAAAATACAGAAAAAGAAAGAAAAAGAAAGAAACTGCTACACTTCGTATCTTTCCACCCTAGAGCCTGGTGTGCAGGGCCTTAGGGTCGGCATACCATAGTGGTGCACACCAGTAATTCTAGCACTTGGGAGGCTGAGCCAGGAGGGCCAAGAGTTCAAGGTTAACCTGGCTTGTTATTTAGGAATTTGAAGGTCAGCCTGAACTGTGTAACAAAACCCTGTCTCAAAATAAGTAAATATGCTAAAAGAAAAAAAATCGGAAAGTTTCAAAGAAATTAATAAACATAGAAATAAGGAACTGAAAATAAAATGTGTAGGTTGAAATTAGGTCTAATAGATATTGAATCCTATTTCTATAAAACTGGATAGCCTAGAGAGACAGCATCCAGGCGGCAGAAGTAAAATAAAGAGAAACAAACCAAGCCATTCTTGGACACAAGGAAAAAAAGAAGCCTGACATCAGGGAAAACCTTAACATTTTACTTACAGATGAGAGTGGTGACACTGGCCTGTCATCCCAGCCACCCAGAAGGCTGACCAGTCTGGGATACATAACAAGTCTTTATCTCGAAAACAACAAATCCCAGAAACCCATCCCAGCACATACATGGGCACAAGCACACAAGTGCGTGCGTGTCTCAGGAGACTATTACAAATACAGTTGTCCCTCACTACTTCATGGTTCGACTTTTGTGGACTGTTTCACAGGTTTTCAAAAAATATTCATGTAAATTATTTTTTAAAATCTCTTTTTAAAAATGTATTTACTACAGGGTGTGCAGGGTCTCATTACACAGATCAGACTTGTAGTGATCCTCCTGTGTTCAGCCTCCCAAGTGCTGGGATTACAGGCACATGCCACCATGCCTAGTCTCAGTTGCTGTCTCAGCATGCCCTGGGGGCGGGGCCAGCACAGCAAGCCTGGGATTGAACCCCGGGACCTGCATCTGCTTAAGCAGGTGCTTTAATCTACTCAGCTATCTGGCCATCCCTTTTTTTTTTTTAAATCTTTTTTTTTTAAATGTATAATCTAAAATATCTGTTGCAGATTTTTTGCTATATTGCAGGATTCTGCAGTACCGTACAGTATATGTATGTTGTTAAAATTACGTAGGTGTACGAGTTTAGAAAATGGCTAAGAACATTAGAAGCACTTTTAAAAGTGTGGGAAAGGTTTATAATAGTGTGTGAAGGGTTTACAAAGCCTTAACATATATACAAATACTAAAACACAGCATCGCTATTTCTCTGATTTTCACTTATGGCCAGGCTGTCTGCAATGTAATCTCTGTGATGAGGGAGGGGCCGCTGTTGCTAAATTCAACAGAAATACAGTTGGTCAGACAGGGCTCTCGAAGGCGTGAGTGTGGTAGACGAGCATGTCACGGCTGTGGCTGGAGACACATTCCTGAAGGCCTCAAGAGCAAGTGGAGAGCGCCTCCCCAAGAGGTAGGCAACGGCGAGGGAGAGCCTAAACAGGCATTAGTCAGCGGGGCGGGTGGCCAGGGCCTCCGAACTCGTGCCTTCCAGAAAAGGTCCTGGTTCTCTGCAGGCGCACTGTGCCTTGCTTCCCATTGGCTCAACACCGCCTACTCGGCTGCGCTGGAACCTTACTGGGTGATCACAGCTCTGTCCTCCCGGCCTCCGCCTCGTGAATTTGCTCTACAAAACTTCCCTGGCGAAGTGGACTCACTGGCAACCCACTTCCCAGGTCTCCCTCAATAAAGTTTCTTATTCTTTAAATATTTTGTACAGGGTCTCAGCAGCTCAGACTCATAGTGATCCTCCTAGCTCAGCCTCCCCATTGTCGGGATTACAGGCCTGTGCTACCACGCCTGGTTTCAGTGGCTGGCTTGGCATGTGGTACCGGGAATTGAACCCGGGTCCTTGAGCTTGCCAGGCAGGTGCTTAGACCACTGAGCTATCTCCCCACTCCCAAAATTTCCTACTGTTAACCATCATGGTTCCTCAGAATTCATTCCATTTTGGGAAACAGGAACTCGGAGTATCAGGCATCTAGCAGCTTGGGAGTTACACTGCCCTGTATCATTTGGAGGTCCTATACTAAGACTGAACAAGAGGCAGAGAATGAGTGAACGCACAGAGTTCTTAAGCTTGCTACTGTTCAGCGGAAGGATATTAATGTACTTCAGGCCCATTATTTATTTACTGGTACTGGGAACTGAACTCAGGACCTTGCACTTGCCAGGCCGGTGAGCTGCGCTGTATCACCAGCTGAGCTACATCACCAGCTTTCAGACTTTTAAAGGATGTATTTGAAGTAATAGAGGAGAAGCAAGCACGGCTTCCAAGTCAATAGAACGAAAAAAGGGAAGAACAATTTACAAATTTCAAAGTGCGACAGACTGAAAGCGCAAAAAGTAAGACAGTCAACAGGCTGACGGCATCAGCAGGATGGCTTCGGGTGCTTAGCTGCGGGCTTGGCCTCAAGGCACGGATGTCCCTGGGAGAAGGCACCATGCAGAGTGGCGGCCCCTGGCAGGCGAGTCTGCTCTGCAGCCAAGGTGAGCAGCTCTAAAAAAGGCTGCGCTGGAACCTCTCAGAATCTTCCTCCAAGACTTGAGATTTCTTCCTGCATGTCCTCCCGCCACTGCCATCTAATACAAGGTCCTCCCCAGACCTGACTCATGAGGGTGTCATGCTCTTGAAGCTCCCAAACTATAAGCTAAATAAATCTTTTTAATAGTTAACCAGCCTTGGCTATTTTATGATAGCAAAATAAAACATTCAAGGTCAGCATTTACAGTAAGTTTACATAGACTAAATGCCAGTTGAAAAGGGTAGTCAGACTGCAATGAAACACCAAAGTCCAGTCTGCTGTTTATGTGAGATACACTACTTCCTCATTTAAAAAGAAAAAAGACACAGAAAATGGGGGGAAAGGGGCTGGGGAGATGGCTCAGTAGAATAAGTGCTTGCTTGGCAAGCGTAAGGGCCTGAGTTCAATCCCTGGTTCTACAAAAAAAAAGAAAATGGGGAAAAGACAATAGCATAAAGACATAATATTTATAATTAAAAATTCTCAATGTATTTCTGCTTTTTCTTTCATATATAGTATAATATAGTACACTATATAGTGTAACAGTATAATATAGTATGCTATATATAGCATAACATAGTATAATATAGTACATTATATATACTACAACATATATAGCATACTATAGTATATTTGTGACAGTGATATACACTGTATTTGTGATAATATAGTATATATTATAGTATATATTTATGGCATAATTATAGTTTTTTATTTTTAGAGCTGGGGCGAAACCCTGGGCTTTGTGCCTGCTCCTATCCCAGTATGATGCTTTGAAATATGTATATGCTGTAGAACAGCTGAATCAAGCTACCAATATGTATTAGCTCACCAACTAAGCATTTGTGCTTGTGACACTTAAAAACTCTACTCTGCAGTTTCCCGCTGTACAACACACTGACTATAGTCACCATGCCCTAGAGGCAACCTTTCAAACCCATGAATCTGTATATGCATAAACTTGATTTATGACAGCTGCTACTGCACCAGTGTGGGAAAGGTCTTACAAATACTGTACACAGAACTGGGAAGAACACTTATTGAGACAGAAAAGAAACTCGTTTTTCGTCTCATACCACATACAAAAATCAGTTTGAGGCAGAAAAAAAAAAAAAAAAACCCTTGCATGTAAAAAGTAAAATTACAGACCTTTGAGAAGAAAATACTGTATAGAATATCTCTGTCAGTTTAGCTGTTTTATTTTTTATTTTTTCACAGGACACAGAAATTTATTCAAAGTCCAGGTACAAACTGGTTGACTGCCTTCTACAATGTGAACAGCAAAAAAAGTCTACAGGAAAGGCTGGAGTTTGTTATAAAAGTTTTAATCAGTTCTTCCCATTATAAGACATCGGGACAGGCTAATAGAATGTGTAGCCAAGGTTACTGAGCCTGTAATCACCGTTAGCAAAATGTACATCTGTCACCATAAAAAACTGCTCTGATTTGCTGTCTCCATGTCTGACTACAGATATAAAAAAATCACAAATATTTACATCCTTGTTACACTCCATAAGGAACTCAGGATCCAAGGAGACCCCTGCCCGCTACTGAGGCAGCCCAGAGGGTGGCAGCGAGCAGAGTGCTGTATGCTGGTCCCACCGCTCGGGGCCCAGTTTGGCTGTTCTAGGGGAGTGAGGCAGGACAAGCTTGCTGAGACAAGATCACAAGGGACTGCCAATAAAAGATCAAGACAACTGTAAGTATGTGTTCACTACTGCATCTCCACGGTGTAGACGGAGGTCCACTATTCTGTTTTGTGTTTGTAGGAATTTCACAGAAAGAAGACACATTATAGCCAGTCACGGCAGTTTAGACCTGGACTCCCAACTACTGTACTCGGAAGCAGAGGCAGGAGGAGGCTGCGGACCCAAAAGCTGAAGACCAGCCCAGGCAACACAAAAAGAGTTTGTGGGGGCTGGAGTTATAGCTCAGTGGTAGAGCACCTACTTAGCAAGGCCCTGGGCCCATAACAGGAAAACAAGTTAACAAGAGTTAGCATGCAAACATGCTAAGGAACATAAGTAAGAAACGTTAAGTAATCCGTTAAGAAAATGAGATATCGTACACAAAAAACTAATAGAAATTTGAAAAATGTTTAATTAGAAAGAGTAAGCTGGACATGGGAGGGCACACCTGGAGGCTGAGGCAGAAAGACTGCCTTGAGTTTGGGTCCAGCCTGGGCTACATACTAAGCTCAAGACCAGCCTGAACTTCACAGTGAGATCCCGTCTCAAAAAGGGACAAGAAACATGTAAAATCATGAGATACCATTTTAACATTTTCTTGGGAGCCAAAAATTAAACTTTCAGACAAAATCAAATGTTATCAAGTGTGTGGAAAACAAAGCACTCTAATACACTGCAAATAGAAGTCAGTGTAAACTGGCAGTGGGACCAAGAAAATGCCTTCATAACTTGGCAGTGTTGTGAGAATGAAGAGGTTCATACCACTCTGAAGGAGATCCACGCCCTGCACTAAGCATCAGTAACAGACACGAAGTGTGCAGCAGACGATTCTAGAATTACGCTAAGGTCCACTGAGAAGGAAAATGGAAAATGTACCATATACCCGCGGCTGAATAACAACCTGACACATGGATACAGCTCAATCTCAAAAATAGTATTAGCTAAGAAAAAAAAAAAAAAGCAAAAAAAGCCCTATGAAACAATTTCTATAAAGATTTAAAACGCACAAATTTCCATGATTGTATCACAAAGCAGCTCGTTGAAAACAAAATAGGCTATTATCTTAAACTGGACAATGGGTTCATAACGTTGCTTTTGCTTCATAATTTGTAAAGTACCTTGCAAATTTTTGGCATTTTCTATTTCAAAATTGTTCAAGCTGGTGAGAAAAGGATGCTGGATGAATACGATAATCATTATGTATCTCACATCCACTTGCAGCATTCACTTCCTAAATGTTTGCTTCTGGGCCATTTAAGATTTTTGCAACTAACACAGTAGTAATGTGTTTGAGGGAAATGATGCAGAAAGTAAAATAAACTGCATAGAAGCCGGCCACTACTACATACATACGGGAGTTAACTCGTCAGGACGCGGTAATTAAAATCATGCTCGGCATATTCTGGGCCACTAAGGGACATTTGGGGGAGTCCAACAAGAATGCTCTGAAAAGTGCTTTCTACTGAGAGCAAGCATGCATCTTGTGCACCAATAATTCTTGTCTTCGACTAAAGCATGCCAAGTTGCTTTTGACCCACTTCTAAATTTTTATTTTTTAATACTGTACCTGCTCCCAATGTGCCTTCTGAAACATTTTCCCGAAGGGCACCGCAAAGGCGGGGCGCCCAAACAAAAATAACCAACCGGCGGCGGGGAACTTCCGGTTGAGGGCCGTGGCCGGAAGGAAAAGGCCGGCGGACCGGAAGTACCTGCCCCACCTCCGGCTCCAGGGGCTGCGCCAAGAAGGGAGAAGCGGTAAGCGGCCCAGCCAAAGAGCTCCGCACACCCCGCCGCGCGCGCAGGCACACGCAGGCCTTCCTCCGCCGGGAGCTTGAACCCGTGCGACCCCGACCCCACCGTGTGCCTTACTTGCCGTTCCCCAAGCGGTGGCGTGGACTCGGCTGAGCAAACTGGAGAGGCCGAACGCAGCCATGATGCCGCGTCCTGGGCGCCGGCGCACGCGCAGCTGGGGTGGGGTGGGGGGGCTGGGGAAGGGGCGGGGCGTCCCGCCGCGGTGGGCGGGGCCTGGGCTTAGTGGTCTGCGCTTGCGCAGCCTGCGACTAGAAGAGGCGTGGGGAGGCCCGGAACCCAGAACAGCCCTGAATCCTGCCTTGTTAACTCCCTATCAAACCAAGTTTTAGAATGCCCTTTCTTACTTCATTCCTCTCTTGCCCGTTCCGTCTGTAGTAATCACTTTTATTTAACTTTTCTTTGGTTGTACTGAGGTTGAACCTAAGGGGCTCTACTACATCCTTAGACCTTTTTATTATTTACTGCCTTGGGTCTCTAAATCGACCAGAGTGATTTGAAATTGCAATCTGTTGGGCCTCGGAGGTAGCTCAGCGGTTTAAGCGCCTGCCTGGCAAGCTCAAGGACCCAGGTTCAATCCCCCGTACCACATGCCTTGCCCGCTCCTGCCAAGCTGGCCACCAAGACTAGCCGTTGTGTCGCACATCTGTAATCCTAGTGCTGGGAAGGCTGACACAGGAGGATCACTACGATTCTAAGTTGGTAGCGAGACCCTGTACCAAATAAATTGATAAATAAATCTTTAAAAATACATTGAGATCTTTTGTCTTAGCCTGCCCAATTCCAGTCTAGCTGGTCCTGCATGCCGTCTTCTTGCCTCGGCCTCAGCAAGCCCAGTGCTTGGTGTTACAAGCGTGGCCCATCATTTGTGTTTTAGAAATCACCACCTCCCATGCTGATCAGGTGTTAAAAAAAAAAAGAACCAAGTTCTGGTGTTCTGCCCTAGTCTCCTATTTCACTGTATATTTTATGACAAACTGAAAGACATTAAAAGGCTGCAAACAGGAAATGGAACATTTACCTCTGTTTGATTACATATATGTTACACACATGTAGTGTCATAAGACACTGTACCCCATAAATACAGTGGTTACATGTTAAAGTTTAAAAACTTTGATGATAGAAATGTTAAGTACTGTATTTGACAATTACATGCTGCAATATACTGTATCAAATTATTACACTTTACCCCTTAAGTGTATACAATTAATAAATATGCCAGGCTTAGTGGCACAGCACTGCAATCCCAGCACTCAGAGAGACTAAGCCAGGAGGATTTCAAGTTTTTTTTTGAAGAACCAGGGATTGAACTCAGGCCCTGCGCTTGCCAGGCAAGTGCTTATTCTACTGAGCCATCTCCCTGGCCCCAGGATTTCAAGTTTGAACTCAACCCGCGCAGTTTAGCAAGACCTTGTCTCAAAAGAAAAAAAAAGGGGTGTGGGGAGGGGGTGAAGTTTAGTGTGAAAAGTTCAAGATTCAACTCTCAGTCTCACAAAGCTAAGGTGGTGTGTTGGTTTTGGATGCCTGGAGCCCTAACACTGGGGCGGAGGCAAGGTGACTACCCTGAGTTTCAGGCCAGCCTGGGGTATACAGCCGGACCTCGTCTCAAACATATTTTGAGATAAAACAAAACAAAACAAAACATTAAACTAGAGCTGGGTGTGGTGGCACATGCCTGTCATCCTAGCACTTGGGATTGATGAGTTTGAAAGCAGCTTGGGCTACATAATGAGCTGCACAGTGAGACCTGGCCTTGAAAAAACAAACAAAACCAACATCAAATTACATTGAGTTTTCTTACACCATTAAATGTTTTGTAAAATAAATTCTTTTTTCAAAGTTTTATTGATAAACAGATAGCAATGAGACAGTTTCAAATCAAATCGGAAGTACAGTTTCAACAAATAATACACTGC